CCGAAACATTATTTTTGGGTCATTTACACTCATTACGATGAAGTTTTGACAAAGCATATACGAAGAAGTCATGACAAAACATATACGAAGAAGTTTTGACAAAGCATATACGATGAAGTTTTGACAAAACATATACGATGAAGTTTTGACAAAACATATACGAAGAAATCATGACAAAGCATTTATGTTTAGTTTCGATGAAATCATGACAAAACATTTACGAAGAAATCATGACAAAGCATTTACGTTTAGTTTACGATGAAGTCATGACAAAGCATTTATGTTTAGTTTCGATGAAGTCTTGACAAAGTGTTTACGTTTATGTTTGACAAAGCATATACGATGAAGTCATAACAAAACATATACGATGAAGTCATGACAAAACATATACGTTTAGTTTCGATGAAGTCATAACAAAACATATACGATGAAGTCATGACAAAACATATACGTTTAGTTTCGATGAAGTCATAACAAAACATTTACGATGAAGTCATGACAAAACATATACGTTTAGTTTCGATGAAGTCATAACAAAACATTTACGATGAAATACTTGTAAATGAAGTTTTATAAAGTATGATTGGAATTTATTTTTGCATTAATCCTGCTGTGTTGTCAAAATGTCATGTTGTCAGTAATTTTAAGAGAAGTTAATTAACCTGGTAGCACATGGTAACATGGTAACACCTTCAGTTCTTCAAAAATAATTAATTATTGAATAACCTAAAAACCATCTACCTAAACATTATTTTTAGTGTAAATTCACGAGGGTAGGAAAGAGGGTAGTTATCGGGTTAGATCTACCCTTCTACCCGAAACATTATTTTTGCTGAATTCAGCAACAAAATGAACGAGGTCAGGATGTATGTAAATACCTTTGAATTCATTCATAACGCCCTTAGTAAGCTCATAAAATGCTTGTTTTGAGGTTGAGCCACTTTTGGCTCGACCGTATTCTTTCAACCAAAACTCAAGAATTTCCTGCATGAATTTTGTATAAAAAGCAACCGCCGGAATTCGGACTGTTGCTATATTCTTCACAAAACGCCTTATAATACTCTTCCCAGGACTTTTTTCCAACAACTTTCTAAAGTCTTTCCTAAACTGACTGACTGACTGACGGCACAAAGTGGCTTAACGAAAACATTAATATATAAAATTCATGAAAATTCATGAAAATTCATGAGGGTGAAAAAACAGGTGAAAAAAGAGGTGAAATCTCACCTCTTCACCTAAAATATATTTTTGGGTCATTTACACTCATTACGATGAAATCATGACAAAACATATACGATGAAGTCATGACAAAGTGTTTTACGTTTAGTTTCGATGAAATCATGACAAAATATTTATGTTTAAGTTCGACAAAGCATATACGATGAAGTCATAACAAAGCATATACGATGAAATCATAACAAAGCATATACGATGAAATCATGACAAAGCATATACGATGAAGTCATGACAAAACATTTACGAAATCATTAATGAAAACATTAACGTAAACATAAACGATAAAATTTATTTCCTGGACTGTTGTCAAAATGTCATGTTGTCAGTAATTTTAAGAGAAGTTAAATAACCTGGTGACATGGTGACGTGGTGACACTGAAAACATTTACGTTTAAGTTCGACAAAGCATTTACGATGAAATCATGACAAAACATATACGAAGAAATCATGACAAAACATTTACGTTTAGTTTCGATGAAATCATAACAAAACATTTACGTTTAGTTTCGATGAAGTTTTGACAAAGCATATACGATGAAGTCATAACAAAACATATACGAAGAAATCATGACAAAACATTTACGATGAAGTCATAACAAAACATTTACGATGAAGTCATGACAAAACATTTACGATGAAATCATGACAAAACATATACGATGAAGTCATGACAAAACATTTACGATGAAATCATGACAAAACATATACGATGAAGTTTTGACAAACATTTACGATGAAATCATAACAAAACATATACGAAGAAATCATGACAAAACATTTACGTTTAGTTTCGATGAAGTTAGTGTCTATGTTATAAAGTAATGTTAGTCATGAATGTTTGTCCTAAGTGTTGGCGTTAGTGTTGAAAAATAATGTTTGTCCTACATGAAGCCGTACAAGCGTTTGAATTTGTTTATGAATAAAATTACACTCTTGTTTTCTGTATCTATCATACAAACATAAGCAGCACCTGTTTTTGTAAAGTTTATATGAAGTTTTCGATAGTTAGGACCTGTATAATAATAGAATGCGTCTTCATTCTCAACATAGTAGTAGAACTCAAACGAATGCTTACCATAATCTGTTATTTCAACAGCTTCGTCAGATATTTCATCAACGAACTCATAAACTATATCGCCATACTTGCTTTTATTTCTATTGTTTTCAGATCTAGAACACCAACGAAGGTTTGAGATTCTGTTGTCCGTTCTATCATGATTTATATGGTCTATTTCTTTCAAATTGTTTGGATTTTCAATCCACTGTTCTGCAATAATTCTATGCTTTAAATGCATTTTGTTGTTTAAACTAAGCACAATATAACCATAATTATTTAAGCATTCACTCATAATATGTTTGTCTTTCTTTCGACGAATAGTAAAAGGATATGTCGTACAAATCTCATAATCTTCATGATTTCTCAATGTTTCCCATTGAGTTTGTTCCCCACTAACGTTCTCATTGACGTCTTCAATATCTTCTTCCTCACTGAACTCGTCAATATTTTCACTAGCTCCTTCTGTAATGTTTTCATCGGCATTGTCATTGACTTCTTCTGTAATGTTAGATGTTGTTGTTTCGCTCATGTTATTTCACTAATGTTAAAAAGTTATGTTGTACGAATTTTGAACAGAATTTAGAGCAGTTATGAAACAATGAAGTATTTTTACGCTATTGAAAGGAACTATGAGAGTGAAGTACATGACAGCAATGACAAAAGGAACTAATATCAAACCTAATGAAATCGCTCACGAGGACATAGAGCTTAACAAGTATTTTGTGGAGTATCTTATAAGTGAAGAGTATGTAAGACCTTACTTCATGTTTGACAGCATGAATGAGGATGTTATTTCATGGTTAAAGAATATAAGCAATGTTTTCGGTAAGTACGTCATAGATGACAAAGGTCTTGTTGTATTTTATGAGACAGCAATACGAACACAGGAACTAATGGATATTATGCACTCAACAGCAAAGAAAGGATTTAGTACTATTGGCATGAATGAACATTGCAGGAATGACATATACAACCTATGCTCACGAAAGCCTTACACAAAAGCAATACAAATGATAGAACATAAGTGTCTAAGGTCAGCAAATGAAATCATTACTGTCAGTGGTTATGAAAGAACTGTTAGCAAAGATGAGTGGAAACAGCTATTCATATTAAGGAAGGACGTTGCTGAACTAGTTAAACCTGTTGCACAAACATTGTTTCAGATAAGACCAGCAATGACTAAGAACCCTTTGACCTTAGTCAATGAGACCATAGAGGTTGAAGATAATGACATGAAAGAACTAGGAATGAATGAGAGAAGTTGTGAAGGATGTTTGAGTCAAAACACATGGTTCTTCAGAGCTGTTAAGAAACTTAGTAAAGAACGACAGAAATATTTTATAGAGAAGTATTGCAAAGGATTGTAAATGAATTGCTTGAAATAGAACTTAGAGACACTTTCACACTAAAGGACTTGAGGAGAAATAAGTACATGAGTGAAGAAGGTATTGACATAGCTAGTGTTATAAATGACTTAAGAAGATGTGTTGTCGTTATTGACGGAGCATGTATGACATATCTAGTGAAAGATTATGATGGAATACGAGACACAACAACACTTGTGTCAGTAGATAGCAAGGAATTCAATAAGCTCATGAAGAGTGTTTATGTAGGACGTATTGAAGAGAAGGATGTGAACGCACTGATGATTTATGAAGCGGGTCAGAACAAGAACTATCTTATGAAGTCAGGCATGAGATTCTTTGACGAAAGAGATGACATTTACAGCTATTTCAGAGGATATGAGTATGAGGTACTGAATGAAGTAGATGAATGCATTATTGAAGGATATTTGAAACATGTTCACGATGTCATATGTAATGAGGATGAAGAGCTTTATGAGTATGTTTTGAACTGGTTCGCCTACATCGTTCAAAATCCTTGTGGAAAGACTGGAACAGTACTTTTGTTAACAGGAAAGCAAGGAACTGGTAAGAATGTACTTAGTAATGTTCTATGCGAGCTCATTAGCAAGTACGCCAACAATAATATAACGGCAATAGAGAATGTGGTTGGTAGATTCAATGCTGCTATTGAGAACATGAAGCTCATCGTATGCAATGAACTAAGCTCATGCGATACGTCTAAGGTCATGAACCACGACGCACTAAAGTCAATAGTAACAGAGACTCAGTTGGACTTAAATCAGAAGTGTCAGCCAGTAAGAAAGATAGAGAATGTTTGTAATATCATCATGATATCTAACAACTTCAACTCAGTAAAGATTGACAAAGACGACAGAAGATTTGTTGTCATTGACGTAAGCAGCAGATACAAAGGAAATTACGAATATTTCTCAAATCTCATTGAAAGCTTTAATGAAGAGTTTTATTCAAACTTACTGACGTACTTCATGAAGAAAGATTTAAGTGAATTTGATGTAAGGAAGATACCATTCACCAGGGCTAAACAAGAACTCATCGAAATGAACAAAACACCTTACCAAATGTTTTACGAGGAGTTCTATGAAAAGTTTGTATCCGGATGGAATTGTACAGAGTGCTACAGAAGATATAAAGAATTTGCGAAGGAGAATGAATTCTTTGCATGTAGTTCAAATGTATTTGGCGGCAAGATGAGAGAATTTGTGAAGAGAAGTAGAAAGCGAGACGGTTCTGCAAGAAGTTATATTTACGAAGCAAGTATGATATTAGAAGGTCGTGGAAAGAAAGAAACAGTGAATTATGAGGAAGTGCTTGAAAAATTCATGGAGTACATGGGAAGCAATATAACATACAACAAAGACATATACAGTGAGTTTAAGTACTACTGTGAACAGCATGAGATTGAAGTAATGAGTAAAGGAGACTTTGAAACGCTTATGAAAGACAGTAAGGAGGTCGTTCATGAGAACAGTGTTGAAATAGTTCATGAGAACAGTGAGGAGGTCATACATGAATGCAATGATGAAATAGTTCACGATGTCGTTCGTGAAGAAGCCATTGCAACAAAGAATATATAAAGGATTTCATAGAACTTAACAAGGAGGAGTTTAAAGAAGGCTATGAAGTGAAAAGATGTGAAGAAGATTTCTTGGCGTATTTGAAGAAAAAGAGACTAAAGCCAATGGCTCAAAATAAGTTTCAATCGATGTTTGAAAAGAAACGTTTGAGCTATGGTGGTGTAAGAAGCACATATTACTTTGTTAAGAAGTGAGGACATTTATTTTTGTCGTTAGTGTTGGAGTTTGTGTTTGTTGTTAGTGTTTGTCATTTGTGCTGAAGTTAGTACTTGATGTTAGTGTTGGAGTTTGTGTTTGTTGTTAGTGTTTGTCATTTGTGCTGAAGTTAGTACTTGATGTTAGTGTTGGAGTTTGTGTTTGTTGTTAGTGAGAGAATAAATTAAATCATGAACTTTGCCATGGTCTCTGTCCCTAGTAGTTTTCATTAAGTTCTGGAAATAATGAAAGTCATAAACTTTGCCATGGTCTCTGTCCCTAGTAGTTTTCATTATCTCACAGAGTTAATGAAAGTCATACTTTCTATCAGATGAAGCATGCAGATGAACATAATGAAAGTTAGTGGTTTGCCACGAGTTATGAATAAAATATTGGCATATTAGATGAGATAGCTGATGAAACAGATGAAGATAAATTAAATCTTGGACTTTGCCACACTCTGTCCCTAGTTCCTCAAAATCCTTGACAACGTTGCTTAGAAATTTTGGTTCAAAACCTCATCTGATTTTAATCTGTTATGCTACCTGTTAAGTTTCGCGAGATTATAAATGTCATGGAGTTATATAAAAAGGAGGGCAGCTAGGGACACTGGAAGTACTTGTAAGGCTATCTGTTAAGATTGCATGAAATACTAAAAAGTCATGAAATCCATTATCGCTGTGCTAGCTTCACCTTAGAGTAAATGACAAATAAAGTCACTGAAGCAATGAAACAAAAGTTTTTGGTAGAATACATTAAATCAGGAACTATTCCAGAAGGTTTTTACATTCATACTATGAAGGATGGTAGAGTTCAGTTTAGAAAGATAAAGCAACCATTAGATAAAGAAGGAATTTTGAGAAAGATTAAACTTCATGAGGACAACATTGCTGAACTTAGAAGAAGTTAGAAGAGTTGGAGAAAGGAAGAGAGTTATAAAGCAATGAATTCAACAGGGTAGAAATGAGGTGAAAAAGGGTTAGATCTAACTTCACCTAAATTTATTTTTGTGCTATGTTTTCATACGTGTGAGGGTGGTGATATCATTAATTTTTAAGTTTATTTTTTATTTTATTTTTATTTATTTTTATATAAATGACGAAAACTATTGAGATAACAAACTACAACGATCATGAGTTCAAGAATTTGTTCTTCGTTCCTCGTGAAAATACATTCTATCAGATACGAGGGAGAAAGGGTAAAGTTAGTTTGAGCGTTTATGACAACAAACATAATGGGAGATATATAAAAGCAATAGATACAAACGGTAAGCGTGTTTCATTAGCTTTGTCAAAACTTACTAACATTTATTTTGACAGTGACTTTGACTCTGACGATTGGAGCGACAGCAGCGATACTGAAGAATATGAACTATTGTGTGAAGCACAGCAATGGGAAGAGTTGCAATACTTTTGTAAGTGAGAACATTAGTTGGAACGTTAGTGAGAACGTTTATTTTTTCATTAGTGAAGTCTTTAGCGAAAATGTTAGTGAGGTGAAGTGGTTGGCGGCTTTGTAAATATTTAGGGTTAAGTTAGTGTTTGTGTTTGTGTTGTAAAATATACGTTAGTGGTTTTGTAAAGTGTCAAACCGTTATCTTGGGTAAGGTGGAACGCAGTGCCGCCGTACCCAAGATAGGGATACTAACTATTTGGCGTCTCTCATCTTGAAAGATTCGATCCAGGTCATGTATCAAAAAATATCTCAAAAGATTTTACAAAGTTCTCAGCTTCTCATAAGACAGTTGAAGTTTTCAACGACAAGACTCAGAAGATTGAAAAAATAGAGAGACCTTTCTGGGGTCTGAATGCAAGCCTAAGTATGTGGCTTTGGTCATGTTTTGCCGAAGAAAATATTGACAAACGTACGAAAATGTGGGAGAATTGTGTCTACCATTACGTAGGCAATCATTCTTTTTGCGAACCGCACAATTACAAATGCTTTGAATGGCAAAAAGGTGCCAATTCGATCCAACTTCAATTCATGCTCTATGACTTGGTTCACAAATGGACACCCATAGTTTCCAAAGTTTCTTCCATTGGATCTACCTGCATGAATGAAGCGTTTAACTCCAAAATTGCATGCTATTTGGACAAATCAAGAGCCTGGAAGAACATTAACATTAGAGTTAACGTTGCAATCTTAGAATGGAATGATCCAGAGCATTTTCTCGGAGATATACAAAAAGCATTACATCTTCCCCCACTTCCAGAAGATTGTGTCAAATCATTTGAAGAGAATTGTTACTCCAAAATGATATTGAAACAAAAAACTGTTACAAAAGGTTCTAAAAAACAAAACAAATACAAAAAATCCATTCAGAGTGTACCAGGAGGAGAATATCAAGTTTTCAAGTCCGAATGGGAATCAGAAGACGAAGACATTGATGACTTTGATTAACGAAAATTACATTTTATTTATTGTTTTTGTTTTTAATTAAATTACCCAGATTTTTCCTATCGTTGGGAGTAGCTATTAAATAGAACCACCAAGGGTATTTTTCGAACTGCCGGTGTAGTGGAAACATCCGACATAATGATTCATTATGCCAAGGTTTGATTCCCATTTAACCAATTTTTTTCTTTTTTGGATCATGAATTTTTTTTTGGGTCACTATAAGATTTGTTTCATGTTCTAAATCTGCTGCATATGTAATCTATTTTTATTTACCTATTTTTTAAAAATCTATTGGATTGCCAAATTTGAATATATTTAAAATCATAAAAATCCAAAAAAACTATAAATATATGTTTTATGTATAGTGCCGATACTCAAATATCAGATTACTTAGATCCATGAATAATATCCGAATTTTTTTCTTAAAATTAAACTTCAAAACTTCTTGCAATCTTATTCTTAATCAATTGTAAATTTTTAAAACCATTTTTTAAAATAATTTTGCGTAAATTTTATTCTCATGTTGTTTTAATCGAAAATTGATACATTTTCAAAAAAATAATATTGACTTATGAAATTCATTTTTAAGGTGAAATAGTATTGTTTTTATTAAAGTATATTAGGGCTGTACAAGATTTAAAAAAACATTGCCGGGTTACCGTAGAGGCCTAAAAAAATCGCGCCTCGGCGGCAAGCCGCCTCGGCATTAAGAATGCGCATCTAAATTTTTATATGTCCTTCTTTCTTTCATTTTTCCCTTCCCTTCCTTTTCTTTTTCTTTTTTTCCCTCCTCTTGCTCTCATTTACCTTTTTTTCCTTTTCTCATCATTTTTCAAAATTTAAAATTTTTATCAAAAATCTTGCCTATAAAAGCAGATTATGGAACCTTTTAATGCCTCTTAATCAATATTATACAGCATAAAGCATATTAAATGAAAGTAATTACGTATAAATTTATTTTATTATCTTATTTATTAATTCTTTAGCATGTATTGTTTAATATTAACTTTTCTGTACATTAAATATGATATCTCCAAAGTATGAATGCCTTGTAACGAAACGAAAACTTAATTTTATGTTGAATATTTGTCACAAACATTAGATTATTAAAATATATGTTGGATATCCCTTAGTATGAGACTTCATGACTCTTGTTGTCTAACGTGAGCTTTGGATTGCAAGCTTGCTACAGCACATAAGTATTCTGTGGTTAAAAAAACCACATGAGCTTTAAAAACTATAAAACCAAAAATAATTGTTATAATTTAAATGAAGAAGTAATTTAAAACGATTTTATTTATGATCAAATTTTATATATTTTTTTGGATCAAATCCATTTTAATAGAATTTATATACTATTCATCTATTAGTAAACACTACCGTATATTATTTTTTAAGCTATCTTATTTTTTGAACTTTTATTCAAATCTTTGGTCGCAAGAAGAATTGCATGATAAATAAAAACATTTAATCAAAGTCAATTTTATTTTTCATATTCAAATGGACTGAGTGTTAACATTTAAACATTTTTTGCTAATTGTCGTCAAAAATTAGGCGTAAAGCAAAAGTTGATATTTCATATGGTTTTGATAGATAAGCATTATATTCCCACTCATTATATTCGTAAATTTTGAGGTTTATCCTTCGCTTTTAAGATCATTGAATTTGATTTTTATATAAAATAGTTATATATTAGAAAATAATATGAGTTTTATATGATATTATTTTTCAGAAGATTTCATTCTATATGCCTATGAAAAGTACTCTCAAAACTAACTTTTTCCTAATTATAATTAAATCTAGAATATTGTATTATGCTTAGTATTATTTCATTTTTCTCATTCAATTTAGAATTTACAAATGTCAAAAAATTGAGAGCTGTCACTTTTGATGAATTTCTGTTTATTACAGCATTGTTATTAATAATGAAAAATAAAGCTTATTTCAATGAAAATTGTTCTGCAAATTTATTTCACTTTTGACCTTACTTTTTCCGTAATTCAATTTTTTACTTTTAATATTTTAGATCTTCATAATATCATTTGAAAAATTAACCATATAAAAAAATCAAGTTATCAATTCACTTTTTCCGTAATTCAAAAATCAAAAATATAAATAATATATCTTTTTATCAAATATTATTATTATATTCTATGAAAAATGAGGTCCGGAAATTTTGCGGATTCCCGTAACTCAATTTTACGGAAAAAGTGCAGTAAACTATTCAAAATACGGAAAAATTGGTGTAAACTAATGATTTTACGGTAAAATCACGGAAAGTCCCGGAAGAATATATGTGCCTATATGAAATTATACAAAAATGAATCAAACGCATTTTAAAAGATTGTTCTTGGAGTGTGGTAGAATTTACGAAAAAGTGACAGTAGAAAAAGTGACACTTAACCTTA